GTTATTTATTATACTTATTGTTAATCCAGATAATTACTGGATGTTTCACTTAAATGTGTTTTCTTCAATTCAAGTGTATTACATATAAACTTCTGCTAACTGTATGTCCATCCTCCTTTAAGGATCCTATAGTTTCATATGATGAAATTGGATTCCACTGTGAATAGGTAACTTAATAGATGATAATAACGAGATCTTCCGGTAAAAAAGTGTTAGTTCGTAAATACTCGAAGATAGCGATGGTTTTCCACTGCCGGTCATGAGTGGATTGCCTTATTTACCAGCTATAATAAGCCTCAATCGGCTGCTCATGCGATGGATGAATGAAGGTCTCGGAAGACTGTGCCACTGGTTATGTGCACATCTCTTCACGCATTCCCCCATTAAAAAATTTATGTCGATTCTGTAGCAACATATATTAGTGAATCAATACTGATTATAAGATAGACATGAATTCTTCTCAAATCTCGAGATGGAATCAAATAAGTCAGTAAAATTAACAGTTGATTTCAAATTTGATTTCATCGACCTGTCAGGGTAGCTGCAGTTTACAGAACTCTTTTAGGGGTTTAGAATGCATTTTTTGCATTCTCTCACATTGTTCTATTATCTCTTCGTTGGCCATCTAAAAAAGCGCTACATGTAAATAAATCTTGAGTCTACGGTACTACTCCAAATTCTTGAAGCTCTTTAGCGATCTCCAGAAATATGTCCGTTTCATCGGATCTGCAACTCATAAGTTTTCCATCAAAACACACTTCTTTCACTCGAGCCTTTCTCGACTATACATCTTCTTATGGGGAAAAGGATGCATTGGTGAGTCGGTTTTCTTCATCTACGTCTTCTCATAAAAGTTTAGGTCAACATGACCTTTCGATGAGATGTGGAAGTCTCAGAGTTCCTATGTTGTGGTGGCCATAAGAATCGGCAAAGTTGAAACTTTGAAGCTTTCTGTCTTCATTGAGACTCCTCAGAGGTCACATCTGCCGAAAAGTCCCCGTTAAGAAGCAGAGGCCCCTGTCTGTTCCTAGCTATTTCCAAACTTTTGACTGTCTTGGATCGGTTTATGATACGCGTTTCCCAGTTGCATCTTTACAGATTGATCCGTATACCGAAGAAAAGCTGACGTTCTTGGAGATACAGCTCGCTGTAGAAAGGATCCGTCAACAACTGACTGGAATCAACAAGGTGGGCAAAAAAGGATGAATATTTTCGGAACTTGATGTGTTTAGTCTGATTATAGTCCCGTTTCCCGCCTCATTTTCGTTCCTTTTCTTCTTCACCTCTTTTCTATTCTCTATATTAACAGCTATGAACAGCATTGTGGTCCAGTTAGATGTGAAGGCTCTTAAATGCTCCGTGCCGGAGTTAGGGGAGGATTCGAAGAAACTAGGTTCATACTTTCTTTTCCACTCTGAAATGTGAAGTGTGAATGAAATGGTTGTATGATACGTGGGAGCGTAGAAGATGCAGTGGCTATATGAGGCCTTCTTCTTTGGTGAATGTCTCGAAATGGCTCCAGGCAAGTGTGGGAGAGCACGAGCGTGGAAATGAGTAGCTGACCGGCTGAACCAATTAATCGCGGGAATGCACTCAACTGGTATCATAATTTTAAAAGGAAATCGAATGCGTGATCCTATAGCTGACTGAAGTCGCGCAACTGATCACTTGTTCTCGAGTACCCTACAGGAGACTCGTCGCGCAGCAAGAATGCAGGTCAGCGGACGAGTCGCAGCGCGTACTGTAGTGATTTCGCGTCAAGTTAAATAGAATGTACCATTGTACGTCCTACATCGCACATCACGCGCTGCAACTCGTCCGCCGACTCTGCCTTCTTGCCGCGCGATGGGCCTCCTGTCGGGTACCCCTTGTACTCAGTACTTCTTGGTGTCACATTTCAGAGTACTGTAATTGCTTCTATATGCGGGAACTCGATCTCAGTGCTTCTTACCTACTTGGCAGCAATTGATCTTGGTGCCATTATTGTGCCTGTGAATCCAGCGTCGAAACAGTGTGAGTCTTACTTATCCTTATAGAGCTCGTCTTCCTTCCATGCGAACCCACAGAGGCCATTGATCTCTTTTTTTACTGTCACCATTTATGGAGGCTCGAAAACGAAGACTTGAAAAACTCATTCAGTCACATTCGCAGCTACTTTAGTGGTTGGCGAGCGCATCCCCGCATAACGTCGCAGTAGACGTCACCCCTTTCATCCCGTCTTTGTAACGATTCGTAA